CAGGGCCTTTATCGGACGAGATCTGGAAGAGGTGTTTAAAGACGTGTGTGTCCAGCAGCTTGTCTGTTTTTCTCCCAACAAAGTCAGCTTGTCTACAAACCTTGTCCTGATGGCATTCTTAGGCACCCAGGCTACTGCAGCATTATTGCCTGAAATACATAAACTGTCTTTGCACTGAAAGTGGAAAATTGCTCTCACATATTGCCTTATTACTGCTATGTGCTGATTTTCTTTCTCTCTTTATTTCTACTGAAAGACATCAATATCATTTATTTGCATATTTGCTTCATTGAAATCACAAAGAAGCTTTTACTTAACTGCAATGCATACCATCATATTCACCTAATTTAGTATAAATTCCCCTGCTGTTTCAGTTGGACATCTGTCTTAAACTGTTGTGATGGGGAGTAAACAGTGTATTTCATCTTAGAAATGGGCCTGTTGAACGATATGGGGATGTTCAGTTAATTTCCATCTTCTCTCTCACAGTGCTTCTTTCCTTTGCTGTTTATGTTCCTTAATAAAAAGTCATATTTAATATTTAAATTCAAAAAAGTAAAAAAAAAAAGTTAATAAAACCGTTTCTGATTTTCCTTTCCTTTCCTCTCCCTCTCCTTCTCCCCTCCAACATTGGAAGAAAGACTTGCATTAGAGGATAGCACTTCTGGCTCAAGTCTAGCCTGGGCATTGACTGCTGGCAGTTTGCTTGGATTCATCACTATTGATTTTCATTCCAGGTTTAAGATAGGGGCATGTATCACTTTCCCAGCATCAGTCTCGTACAGACTTTCAAGCTCTCCCACAGCGAGCATCTGAGCTCTTCACACGCATGAGTACAACCGCCCTCCCCGCAGGCCCGGGGGTAGGAAGCCTAACATCAGCTGGAGGGGGGGTGTGCCGCAGGCTGCAGAGGCTCCTGAAGGCACAATCTTAAATGGAAGGGTGAACCAGCACCCCTTGAGCTCCACACTGCTAGGGGGGACTGCTGCCTTCCACCTACTTTGTGGTGCAGAGCTGCAGAGTCTTCTTCTGCACGGTGGTACAGACCGTAGTCTGCGGCGGCATAGAGAAGCAACCCCAGATACATACGTCTGAGGCTAATGCCCTGACTCCTGGGCTATAGCCCCTTCTTCCTGAATCACAGCCCAATGCTAAAATACAAAAAGAAGAAACTATCCACCCTGTGGATTTCTCATGGGAGCCAGATCCCCTAAAATGTATATAACTGTCTAATGGATTTCTTGAACAGCCACATAGCAACCTGCTCTTGCAGAAGTGCTCGGGGACAGATAAAGAGGGAGAGCGTTGGTATTTTTGACAAAAGTGGCAAAAAGAGAATTTATACAGCTTTAGCAAAAGGAGGATGAAAAAACTCCCACGGATTTCTCTTCTCCAGTTGCAGAGGAGTATACAGCGGAAACAGACTGCCAACTTTTTGTTTCACACAGAAACAATAAAAAGGTTAACGTTAAGGAATAGAGACTAAGATCAGTGTAACAACAGTTTAATTCAGTGACATATACAGTGAATATTGGGAGTGAAACCAGTTCCCCTTATCTTGAACAAAGCACCCTTCTGGAGGAAAACACTTGTTTATTTAGACCAAACCCAGACACCAGTCAATGCTCTGACTGGTGTCCTACTACGCAACAGGCAGTGCAAGCTCAGATTCGCCAAAGTGCTCTGAAGTCTCCAAGGAGTGGGAGCAGAAAGTGCTTAGCATCTGTGCAGAACTGCCTCTTCAGTCCAGTACCCCAGAGGCACCTGAGACACCTGTGTTCTTTAACTTATCTGCAGCCCAATCCTCCCCACCCACACATACACATATAAAATGGAAATAACAATTGAAGCCTACCTACATAAAACCAGCGCGTTGAAATGCACTGGTGCGTGTTATTATCTGAATTGGGAGAGCACTTACGCACATCCAAGTTGCACGGGGAGAAGAGTATTAAACTTTGGGTACAATATCAGGTTGCATCAAGGGGATTATTATAGACAGAGAGGAGAGGAAATTGAGGTTAGGAATGGTCCGGGGGGAAAAAGGGAAAGGGCATGGAAAACAAATCAAGAAAAAGAAGGCTCCAAGAAGTAAATGGTTCACAGTTACTTTAGGCAGCAGTTTAAGTTTCTCAGTTTTGAAAATGGAAATAACACCTACTTATCACCAAGAGGTGGGTTGGGAATTCATGTTGTAAAGTGCTCAGAGATTCCTGGAAGAAGGTACTTTTGGAAATGTGTCACCCTTGAAGCATTTGTTATTATGCCACAGTGTGATTGTGGACTTCAAAAGTGCTACTAAAAAGTGATGTAGAATGAAAGCAGCAACCTGTCCAATAACAACTACTTGGCCAACCCCAGCCCTTCTACCCATGGTACCATCAATAGACAAATACTGGTGGGAAGGATGGGTAAGAAAAAAAATCTTAAGTGTGTATTGTACTAGGTCTCTCCCCTGGAAGAGCTAGTTTTCTAGGTGTACAGCTCCAGGTAGCATCATCAGTTTAGAAATTTGTGGTTACTCTCATTTTGTTTCCCCCTGGGAAACTGTAGCCAAGCTGCCAAGGTGATGAAGCCACCACCAAGGAAGTCAGCAGAAGAAAGTGGTAGGCTTCCATATTCCCCTAGTTCATGACAGCTATGCTCAATTAGCCCTGTACCGTTACTTCAGAATCATAAGGGGTTTACCTTAAAACATTCCTCTCTTCACTTACTGTGTTACGGCATGTGCCTTCAAATCCTGCAGTCACATTATTTACCTGCTCCCAGACTTGCACCTTTAATGTCAGTCCATAACTCAGTTCCCTGGGCTGCCAGCGATCAGTGCTTCAGAGGAGCGAGGAGTGCGGAGATGCACCCAAAGTCTTTCCATTTTGGTCCATCTCCGTGCCTCTGAGATTTTCTGCTTAGGCTGACAGCATGTCTCAGTCTCTTTCCAGATTGTTAATGACTCGCAAAGCGGAGAGCGTGGTTGTTGGCATTCCCTTTACTTCATGTCTTCTGCCTGCAAGTGCTAAGAAAAGACAGAAGGATTTAAGAAACATTCAGACCATAAGGACAAAAAGGTTTAGAAACTGAAGCCTGGTCTTTTTATTTCTCTCCTTTTGAGGTAGGAATTCTATCAAGAACTGGATTATCCTACCCCAGAGCTAGGCTGTTTTACCCAGTTTATTTACCTGTTCCTGAAGAAGAGGTGGAGATAGCACTGCCTTCACTGTACCCTATGCTGTACATTGCATTCCTCATGCATTTAGGGAACCATGCCCAGGCCAGCTCTATGAATGAATTCTAGAGAAAGTCAGACCTGTTCTGCCAGTCAGAAACCCACTGCTATTAGCACAGCAGACTATGAGGCACGTCTGTGTGTGTGTGTGTGTGGTGACACCCTTCCCTACTCACATCCTTCAAGGAAGTGTAAGGAAGGCAGCGCATGCTAGGAAACCTAGTCAGCACTCCTGCTTGCCACTAAGCCTTGCAACCAGGAAGCCGGGATTAGTTAAGATTCACGGAACAACAGGTTCTTGTGCTTGTCCCAGTAGTTCTGTTTTGGGTCCCTGTCCTAGTCTGTGTGTATCTCCCTTGACCAAAAAACCTCTGTGGAGAACAGCATGTAGCTTGGTCATTTCCATTTCTCAAGACCAGTACTCAACTCGAATCTGGAATAGTGCTCTTCAGCCTGTTTTGGAGGTGGAGAAGGAAACCAATCCGACTTTTCAGGTGTGACACTTTGCAGACATAAGGGATTTTTTTCCTCCCATAACATAAAAGCAGCCCTTGTAGCAGCCGCGCAACAGCAACAAAGACATCTACTTACCTCTACGCATCATGAAATCTGACAACAAAATAATGTTCACTCCTCTTACAAAATTCGGCAGTGCCTGCAGTGCCTCTTTCGCCTCCTTTTCACATTTAATGCACATTGGCTAATAATCTCCAGGGCTGCATCAACACCTTCTTTTGTCTTGGCAGAACACTCCAGGTAAGCATATGCCCCGATGCTGGCAGCTAAAGCTTTTCCTTCTGTAGCATTAATTGGCTCGTTGCCTGGAGTAGTTAGTTTCTTAACACCTTCATCACCCCTTAGGTCTATCTTGGTAGCCACCAGAATAACAGGTACTGTGGGGCAGAACAGTTTGATTTCTGGAAGCCAAAAATCAAGGATGTTTTGCTGCGAGTCAGGCCTGTCCACAGAGAAGCACATTAAAATAACGTCGGTGCCCTTGTAGAACACTGAGCGGAGGTTTCGGTAACTGATTTCATTCTTCCCTGCCACATCGAAGAGAATTAGTTTCACCTCCTTGCCATCTACCTCTGTGTCAGTGGTGTAAGCGTCAAACACGGTTGGCTCGTAGGACTTGGGAAGCTGTTCGTGACACAGAGCAAAGAGGAGGCACGTCTTACCACAGCAGTCATCTCCGACTACAGTTAGCCTTCTCCTAAGAGCAGCCATCCCTTGAAAAGCAAGATGACATACGAATGGATTATTCCCAGGTTGGGTTTTGTGGAGGGTAGAAGAAGAGGAGAGAAATCCTATTAGTTTGGAATTCTTACCCTTATCTCCTTTTTTTCCTCCATACTCTTGCCTTACCCTCATTCCCTATTTTTTCCCCTTCTAATTTCTGTTACCAGAATCTTCTGAAATGGTGAGTACCTTGCTCTTGGCTATTATAGATCAAAAAAAGGAAGGTATAAACCAAGTCTGGATGTAACCAAGATTCCTGCAGAGCCCTATATTTCTGTTTTATCACGTTGTTTATGGTCAGTGTTCAGTCCATAACAGATTTCATTTTCTAGATGGAATGACTTAGTTTTGTGAGTAAGATGGAATATAAAACACTGTACTGAGCAACTATCCAAATCGGTTTTATTGACTACAATTTTCCTGCCATGGTCTGCTAGTAGAACTCTACCAATGGTGACAGCTATCCTGTGTAAGCCCATGCTGCTTTTGCTCATAGATCTGTTGTAATGTCGGACTTAAGAAAATGTTCTCAGTCTTCATATATTCATGGTTAATTTATATGAGATAGAAGTTTGTTAGACTTACAGGACAGTAATTTCCAGCATCAACCTTCTTCTCCTTCTTGATGTTCAAGATTAGATTGGTTTCTTCTAATATTGTTGCCGCCTCAGCTTCCTTAGGTCACCGTATCTCCTGCAGAGAGAACTTACCACCACTCTTCAAAGAGTATCATGATGACTACAAGTATTTAAAGGCATAGGTCGATGTTTCTTAATATAGCCAACCAATCTACGAAGAGAACCTGATGACATCATTGTTTTTTAGAGAAACCTACTTTACAGGCAATAAAGTGGAAGTTACACAATTCATTAACAAATCACAGCATGTTTACTTTAGAAATTTCCTCGTTCCTATTGCAAAAGACTCATCCTGAGTGAGCATTTCAGTACTGAATGTGCCAAGCTACTTTCGTGTGTGGGGCTGACAGTACTAGAGTGTAAACCAGCAGCAGACCTGCCAGACAGACTCTCCAGACACCCCTTTTCACATCTGCTGAGGCATCGTAGAGAAATGAATTGCAGAATCAAAGAATGGATGAGGTAGGAGGGGATCATATAGTCCACCCTGCCCTGCTTGGAGCAGGATCAACTACAGCAGGCCGCTCAGGACTGTGTCCAGTTGGGTTTTGAATATCTCCAAGGATGGAGACTCCACAGCCTCTCTGAACAGCCTTTTCCAGTGTTTGATCAGATCATCCTCAACATAGTGAAATGAAGCCTATCAACTGGAGTGTCTAAAGAGAAAGAACCATCCCATGTTAAGGATACTATCTTGACCTCCAGAGATGAAGACTGAATTCCCTGCTATCTTTTTGGCATTGGACAAGTCGTTTCTACTCTGTCTCAGTTTTCCTGGTAGACAAAGACTTCAAGGTGTCTGCAACCACTAAAAACTGGGAATTGAGGGAACCTGAAGTAGATCTGGTCTCTCTGCAGAGAGAACTGTTTCCAAAGGCATTATTGGTGATGCAGATATGTAACTGCTGATTAGTATAGTTATATATATATAGCCCATATATGTCATACAGCTACAGAAGAGTTCTTCAACTGAGATGAGGGGTTTTAGGTCTAAAAATTTTAGCCTAAGGACGAGGAACTTGTTTTTGTTTAATTTGAAGTCAGCTGGAGGCCTGAGGCTACTTCAGTTTTCTGTGATGGTCTAATTTTACTCTGCCAGACCATATTTCCTGAGTCGGGTTCAAGTATGAATCTGATAGCCTTGCCATAGGAACTTGACAAAATTAAAGTCATCAGCATCTGACTTGCCCCACTTATTCCCCAGAAGAGCAATGCCAGTGGGTCCCATACAGCTCTTCAGGATCATGAAGGCATTTCTTGTTTGGGATTATTTGCTTTTATGTGCATTGTACTTAGCCTAAACCTCTGTGTGAAAATACACAGGTCTTTTTTGCCTTCTCCTTTTGTGCCTTGGCATTCCAGCTTCTAGGTAGATCAGTCTGGTTTCTCTGCTGAGAACCTTGATCACAAGGGGATCTGAGAGTTAAATTCCATTTTTCTTCAGGGACACTGGAAAGCCATGGACCTGCTGTGACACACAACGAGTGGTCTGGTTCTTACATATGCCAGAAACTCTTAGCAGCCTGGAGAGACAGATCCTTACCATTTCTGCCAGTCCTCCCACATCTACTGAGAATTTTTTCACAGTAGCCCGTAAACTGCTTGTATTT